AGTTTTGAATAATACTGACCAAAGTTGTGGATGTGGTATATTGGTGACTTAGTTGCCACCACCAAGCAAGATAAGCTTGAGGAATTCAGTCAACCTCTAGGCTCGATAGTTTGCCATGACAGAAAAGGGTTATCAGGCGCCGTTTATAGAAGTACTAGTTTGTTAAAGCTAAAACGATGAGAAACTCAAAAATGGTCATATGAAGACTACGAATTCCGCCCGTATTCTACGTTACCATGGCAACCAGTGAATCTCGCACAAATAAAACTGTGTTAGGATACTATACAACAGCGCGAAACACACTTCAGATAATTGGACAACACAAATATCGAAATTCAATTACTACATTAGTCCCTCACAGCTAGCGGATAATCCGGCCGTTTTGTCAAAAAATGTAGGCAGAAAGCAGTTCAGATATATGAAGGATTCATTCAGTATCTAGTGTGGTAATGATCCCCGAGTGGTGGTTGATTCTAGTACTGCCGTATGTCAAAGTGACCTTTTGTATAAAAAAATGTCTTTATCGATAATAGAGCCCTTACCTCAGTGAAAAGTTGAACGGATATGACCCTATTCGGAAACACATTCTATGCTCCGCAACGCCACTCCAATATATTGAATGTCATTTCGTTAACCATAGCAGACATGTGTCTTACTGGCAATTAGAGGCAATATGAGCTTTGACACACTTATAAAAATAGGAGGCATGCACCTCGGAGCTCACCTACCGGAGAGAGTAATACATAGGAGATGCTCTATCTCATTAAAGGTCAACCGAAATTCGGAAAGGGGTTTTTCATTTGAAAATATTACTTAAGTAGGGTTGTAATATTGATAGATGTAGGATATTACAGTCACGTCAAGGTGTCGGTTTTTGAATGAGCTCCTTTCTGACCTCTTGCAAAAAGCGTACTCCTTAAAAACGGCTCCCCAGGTAGTTTACATTTTTCCCACCGATTTTCGATGTCCTTCTAAATTCAAACGCAAGCAAAATATGCTTTCCTGTTCTTCTTTAGTCGAAAATTACGCTTAAAAACTATATACCCGAAAGAAGTGCATCTTCCGATTTAAAAAAGGTTTATAATGAGGAGACCTTTTAAACCGTGAAACGCTCATTCATAATGCATCAATTCATTCCCTTGGTATTACGGGTGGCAAAGAGGGACCTTTATCTTAGTTTACAAGATAAGACACGACCTCGAGCAAGGGTTGCGCTTTGAGGACATGCTGCAGGGGCACCTCTCACCTAACCTCCGTGAGCACCAGGGTGAAGCTGTGTACTAAAATATATAAGCTTAATCATCGCTCTGAATTCTCCACGCAAAGGGGTCATAGAACACTGGAATGATCTCCCGAAATCAGTCGTCGAGGCGAAGTCCCTACAGATATTCAAAAAACGTTTGGATACTTATATGTGTCCCATGTCATTCGTCTACAATATGAACTCGAACCAATGCCATACAAACTGCGGATAACAGTTATTTGTTTAAAAAGTGCTACTCTCAGTTTGTAAGTACCATTTTATAAGTGACATTTTAAGCTTGTTCCTAGAAATGTACATTATGCACCGCTTTGTAAACAAAAGGGTTTTCAAAGGCATTTCCCAGATAAACTGAAATTATTCATGATACCTATAAAGTATGCAATATGATCCACATCCAGTGCGGCATTCTACGAGATATATGTACGCGCTTCCTCATAGCACAGAGAAGTGTGTGATTTCCATTAGGCAGAATGTATGCAGCATGTAGTTTGGGAAACTTCAATTCGACACTAACAATCGATAGGGTTCAAAACCGTTCGGGAATTTTACGTTTTTAAAACTGAAAAATACCCTTTCCTCAAGCATACAAGATTGAGATTGGCGTACGTTTGTGTCAAATAAGTGCAAGAAATAATGTTTTGTGAGTATTTTCTATAAAATACATTTGAGTTTACGTGGGCTTCTAAAATCATTTAAAAAAATTGCCTACTTATTACGAATTCACATCTGAGAGATAAGCATTTTCGCAGGCGATCGGAAAGACGTTCAATCAAAACCCGGCATCCTGCGCTGTCTTTAAATCAGTCTGCACGATAATCAATATGGAAACCCTAATTTGCCCGAATCAAAATCACATTTGAGAATTTCGGTTAACGCTTCATGAAATCGGGGATCTGCCGTAGGTGCACGAGATTCAACGCATTGTACGTCCAGCCAATGTCAGCGGGTATTTACCAGATCTATGAGTATGCACTCCGAGCTCCAATAACAATCCGTGTCATCTTATTTTAGTTGGCAGAAGATGGAGCTGTTTGTCTTCCAGCGAAAAATATTAAGTGGAATGGAGACAATCCAATAAGAATACCCCAAACATGTTGAAACAATTTTCAAACTAAAAT